AACTTAGGCTTATTTAGCGTCATGGCAGCTAAAAAACCTGACTAAACGGTTAAAAACGGTATTTTTTTGGCGAAAGTTTGGTATTCAAAGGGTTAATAAGCTCCCTTGACGCATGTTTGCTGACAAACTGTTATACAAGCAACGACAAGGGTTTATCATTTGTATTTAGATTTATTTAGTTTAATTATTTTGACACGTTGCTAAATATTGACAAACCTAACTAATCAGAAACATTCGATACACCTACTGCACGCTGCACGCTGCACGCTGCTAGTTCCGTTCCACGCATCTTACTACAACGCATTTCATTTCAAGAGCGATCCAGATATAGCGTTTCATGAAATAATGGAACATAATTTCGTGGCTTCTTCGCAGGAAGCTCAATGATAGAAGGTTTCGGACAAAACTTGAAGTTACCATCAACGAATGAACAAAGCTATTAGCTTCTACAACCGGAAACTGGTTTGTTGCGTCGGCGGACTCGTGAAACACTTAGCTAATTATTAATTCCTAGCTGACAAAGGTAGATGACCTTTTCAAGTCCACTACTGTATCAACTTAAGTTTGTAATTAGCTTGATCTCGAAAACGTCCTCCAAGATCATTAGTGCTTCAAAAAATAAAAATGAAAAAAAATTTTAAAAAAAACGTAGAGCCCAAGATTCGCGACTGAGTTTGATCAAGGTTAGAATACATGTATGTGGTACTGCAGAACAACGTCAGTAACGGACTTCGCGCTCAACGCCCGACTACACGTTCAGACAATTCGAAATGCCTATAACTGCAACAATCACCCTCGCGGGTCACGAACCAATCCTAAAGGCGTTTTTTGCCATTCTAAGTTTGATTTATCCTCAAAAAGCTCTTTAGACAGACCAAGCCTTGCGCCACGTACGCGGGAACCTGCAGAGAGCCTGACTCCTTCAAAGCTGCGACCCACTTGCCGAGAACCGCGGCTACTCTTTCTGGTTGCCATGGTGACATGTCAAGAAGAGAAACTGCTGAAGCCAGCTGAATGGCGTGGGTCACTAGAGGCGAAAAGAAAAACAAAATAAGAGTGTAATCTTTATCATAAACCACTTCAAATGAAGGAGAACTTTAGGACACTTTCTTGAGTAAACGTAAAAGTTTGCGTACCTTTAGTTTTGGAGGTTGGTGAGGAATCTTCCATCAGCCCACAAACCATGTCGGTTATTTCACGTACTGGGGTCTGTCCATTATCAATGGCAATCCTACACAAAACACCTGAAAATATAGTGCGATTAACACCCAGTTACGACTTAAAATGTACAGTATCAGTATGTTACATCGATGATCGAAAAGATTTCTCTAAATAAACGGAATGCCACACATTTCTTGTTGATGACATAGCAAGTCAATATTTCCTAGTTGAAACAGCAATGTATATCGATCATGTTAACTCGACTACGTGCAAGACCTTTTGTCGCTTTCTACTTTCAACCCTCGCGCTCGCACTCATACTTGCACTCGCACTCGCACGCAGTTTCACACTCACACTCGCACTCGCACTCAGTCTCACACTCGCACTCACACTCGCACTTGCACTCGCACTCGCACTTACACTCGCACTCGCACTCGCAGACGGCGGGTTATGTAAACGTACCTAAGAGTTGAATGCACAGAACAGCCTGAGATTCTGGGAGCCCGCTTGCCGTCAGTTTACCACACTTGGAGCAAATCTCCGGTACCTCTTCACCTCCCACCGAATTCCTTTTTTCTTTTGTTTCTGCCGCAGTTGTAAAGCCGCTTCTTTCACTTGTTCCCTTTTCTGTTAAAACGGTAACACTTGAAACCGCGCTAGAAACATTGAGATTACGGCAACAGCAAGCTGACACATTGTTCTCCTCGCTGATGTAGGCCGCTTGTGGGTGCGATCCATTCGTTGTTGGTTCATCCCTTGTTTCCTTGTCAGCCCATGACTTTAATATTTGCCAAATGTTGTTGACAATGAGTTCATTTAGAGTCCACTGCCAACCAAGAACACATGACAATAACTCGAGAGACTTGACTACTTCAAACGAATGTCTGTCGAGGACCAGGCTGCCATCTTAAAGGAAAAGAATAAATAGTTGCTACACCGGAATAATCGTTGTTTCTATTAACTTCATTGCCTTCTAACACTATTCGAACGAAAGCTAATGAGCAGTATTTTGCAGTGATACCGGTTGCTCTAATTTTTTTGAGTCTCTTGCATAAGACCGTAGTGTGTGACCATTCAAATAAAAGATATCGAGCAGTACTTTCATGTGGTACTGTTTATTATGCTGTACTAGGTGGTTCTAACTTTTAAAGTGCCTATGAAGTAAAAAATAATTGCTGATTATTTGAAAGGCTTTTCAGCGTAAAGAAGAATGGCGTTTCCCTTTTTGAATATCTTTTTTCGTTCTAGAGATATTTACGTTTTTATATTATGCAAATGAGGAAAGTGATGACATCATAGGTGGTTCTACTTGAACAGTAAAACAATGAATCAAGAATATCTCTAGAAATATTGGAGCAGTGTTCTTCAAACTTGGCACCACAAATGTGCATCACAAAAGAAACAGAAT